TGGACAGAGCAGATTCGTCAGCGCCTGCAGGGCAGAAGTTTGTGGACACAGAGAGGAGAAAGACTGTAAACAACGTGGGCTGCTGGGAGAGGTGAAAACGCACAAACAGGATTTTTATTTCCAAATAAACAAATAGGAAATATCTAAAAGGTGCAGCTGAAATGAGTCCTGTCCTGTTTGTCAGTGTCTGCTGTGTACACAGGGCTGAGCAGCCCACCCCGAACCACTGGACACCAGTGCCAGTGGACACCAGTGGCACTGGACACCAGTGCCAGTGGACACCAGTGGCACTGGTCTGGCATCGAGGGCGTGGAAGACAGCGATGAGACGGGGGCTGTTTCCTGGTTCCAGGTTGGCAGAGTCTTTGTAAACACGCTGTTCAGATATGTTGACGTGAACATTTGCACAGACACAGAAAGGAGCGGTCACATGATCACATGATCTGCTGCACGCACGCTGCAGGATTGTAGGAATGAGAGGAAGAAGAGGCGATGCCGGCGTGGCTACGGAGCTGTAACCACACAGAGCTGGTCCTGAGGATCAGCATCGAGGCTTCGCTCTGTTCGCACGGCCGGGTCTGCCCAGGAACAGCACGTCCTTCTGCTTCCTGCGCTCTGAGACAAACAGCAGCACGGATATTTGTGAACACTGAGCGTCACGTCCAGCTTCCTCTCGTGGCGGGGCTGCTGCGACGTCATTGGTCAGAGATTCTCCCGGGATCGTTTTGTTAAACATAACAAACTGTAAATCAGAGCCGGCCTTTCCTGACCCACAGGGAGCGAGTTACTCTGAGGCCCAACAGGGGGGCTTAGCCAGGTTAACCGTCTGCAGGTGAGCCGCAGGTCACCTGTTACACCTGAGAGCTGCTCACCAATCATCGTCAGCAAACACACACCTGCTCACTGCCAGCACTGAGCACGCAACATGACTCATGCTTACCTGTACACATGTACACCTGCATGCAGGTATTACCATGGAAACACAGCTGTTTGACAGCAGTGTCTTACAGTCTCAGTAAGCACAAGTCATCATGCAGAGATGGCCAAAGCACACACTTTGTGTACTGCAGTAGACATACAGATACTTGGTTAAAATACTCCAATAAAACTTTAAGTACTGAAGTAACTTTTTACTCAAGTAAAAGTGAAAAAGTGCCAGTTCTGAGATGTACTCGCAGTAAGAAAGTAAAAGCAGCTCCCTGAAGAACAATTCTGCTTAGCATGTTTGTACAAAGGAAGCTGCAGTAATATAATCATCAGAGAATCTGAGTATATGAGAATAGTAATATTACTCTAATCTACCTTCTCGTTGTGATGAGTGTACTCAGCTTGAACCTGTTCTGCAGCACACCTGCAGGGACGCAGAAATACCTGTGCTGTCAGCACATGGCAGAGGGGGGCGTTACCTCCACACCTGAGCAGGAGCACGAGTCTGGGGTCCGCAGGTGGAGGAGCACTAAGATGTGTCTCAGTGTGGGGAAGACATGACAGCTAATGAACTTCTAATGTGATCAGCTGTTTGTGGATTACACACCTGGATTCATCCAGATGTCAGCAGGTGTTTCACAGCTGATGTCCATCCTCTACACTGATGCTACTGTTTATGTTAGACAGCCACTGTTAGGTTTTGTAATGTTGATTGTCATTTATGCTTAGAAATATCTACTTATATATGCTTAGAGTTTTATAATTAGTTTTAGATTGGTAGAGGTGTTTAATTAATTGTGTAGTGATAGGATGTGTGATCTTTAGCAGGCTGCAAAGGCTTGTTGTTGGTGTGCATTCCAGAACACTCTGGAATGCACACCAACATCCTGGGAGCATGGGAAGAGGTCGTACCTTCTCTTATTGTTTTATGGTAGGATAAACGTAGCAATATCTGTTTCCAGTCTAAGAGCCTTTTGTTTAGATAAACTGCTGGACTTTCCAGACAAGCAGGTTTAGGGAAGTCATTTATGGGGTCATACTCTGACCCCCCCCCCACACACACAGTATTCTTTGTTCACATGTATACCTATGTAAGATGTTATATTTTAATGACCCTATGCATATTCATGTAACCACAATAAAAGGAGT